GTTATTCATTATCTGGAATGCAAAGTCTTCCACGATAATATAAACATCTATCAGTCCTGATTTTGAAGTCTTTGGTCTCACATTTTTCTACTTGTGCAATTCTTCCCAAACATTTTTCATCTTTTCCTTACAGCTCTTTTATCTGATCCAACATCATCGGCTTTAAATTAAGCTTAACGATCAAGGAACCATCTTCTTTTAATGATATACGTGCATCCAAAGCTTGTAAAGCTGCAAAAGTCTTTCGGCTAAGTGCATCAGCTACCACATTAGCCTTCCCTGGGTGATAATCGATGATCACATCATAATCTTTTAAAAGTTCTATACAACTTCTCTGCCTCAAGTTCAGTTATTTTTGAGTCAATAAATACTTTAAACTTTTGTGATCTGTAAAAATATGGCACTGCTCACCGTACAGATAATGACGCCAAATCTTCGAGGCAAACACGACCGCTGCCAATTCTAAGTCATGCGTCGGGTAAATTCTCTCGTAAGTCTTTAGCTGTCTCGAGAAATAGGCCATGACTTTCCCTTAATGCATAAGCACACATCCCAACCCATTATGAGATGCATCACTAAAAACTATGTAGTCTTTACCCAACTCAGGTTGTACAAGCATTGGTGTCTCTGTTACAATCCTCTTTAACATTTTAAAACTTTCTTGGCATTTCTCCGACAAAAAAAGGCACATATTTCCTTAACAATTTATTTAGTGGTGAAGCTAACATCCAAAAGTTCTTCACGAACATTCGGTAATAACCAACAAGCCCCAAGAAACTTCAAACTTCAGAAACATTCTTTGGGGGTTTCCAATCCACTATAGCTTGGATCTTTTTGGGATCTACTCTTATGCCTTCTGCAGAGACTATATCACCAAGGTAAGTAATATATGCTAACAAGAATTCACATTTGGATAGTTTGGCATACAACTTATTCTCTTGAAGAGTCTGAAGAAAAACACGAAGATGAGCACATGCTCCTCTCTTGACTTTGAAAACACCAAAATATCATCAATAAATATCACCACAAATTGATCTAGATATGGTTGGAATACTCGGTTCATCAAATCCATAAATGTTTCAGGAGCATTAGTCAATCCGAATGGAATCACCACAAATTCATAATGTCCATACCGAGCCTGAAAAGCTGTCTTTGAAATATCCTCCTCTTTAATCTTTAATTGGTGGTATCCTAACCGAATGTTTATCTTAGAGAACAGTGATATGCCTTTAAGTTGATCGAATGAATCATCAATCCTTAGAAGTGGATACTTATTCTTTATTGTTACCTTATTTAACTGTCGATAATCTATTCATTATCTCATAGACACATCCTTCTTTTTCACAAAAAAACATTGTTGCTCACCAAGGGGAAACACTAGGTCTAATAAATCCCTTATCTAGCAGCTCATGTAATTGGGCCTTTAATTCTCTTAACTCGATTGGAGCCATTCGATATGGAGCCATAGAAATAGGTTCAGTACCCGGGTAAACATTAATCTAGAATTCCACCTCACGGTCTGGAGGTAACCTCGGTAATTATTCTTGAAAAACATCTAGAAACTCCCTAACTGTTGGAATATCGTCTAATCTCGCTTCCAATATTCGAGTGTCTATCACATTAGCCATGAAAGCTATACACCCTTTCGACATCATTTTCTTTGCAGCCATTGTTGATCACATTGGATGGTGATTTCGCTTTTTCACTGATTACTATGATTTCTGAGCCTTACGTATCCTTAACAAATCATCGCTTCTTGCGAAAATCAACACGTCCATGATGTGGAGACAACTAATCCATGCCCAAAATAATTGCAAACTCGTCGAAAGGTAATTCTATCAAGTTTTCCAGGAACATAATCTCTTGATTCTTTATCGGGCATTTTCTACATACCCAAGTTACCCTTGCACTATGACCCATAAGGTTTACCGCTACCATCTCACTAAAGATTAGTTCTAAAGGTATTCCTATAGCTCTAATCTACTTGGTACTAATATAAGAGTGCATAGAACCAGGGTCAACCAAAACAAATATGGGTTTATCAAAAAGATAGAATGTACCTGTTAAAATCTTCGGGTCATCCCAATCCTCATTAGTCTTAATATTATAAATTATGACTACTCCTCGTTTCTCTTGTCACAGGATTGACTCATATTATCCTCCGGATCTAGCTCTTCCTCAGACTCTATTAGATATTGCTACTGATCTCTCAGTTTGCACTGAATTATTCCCGGATCTCTTAGGACAATTTGGAGCATAGTGACCAGTTTCACCACACTGGAAAAAAGCTCCACTGAGAAATTTACATACTCCACGATGAAATTTACCACACGTATGACATGGAGTAGTTCTTTCTCTAAATGCCTACTCGAGCTAGCAGCAAAGACTGTGATTGCTTATTCTTCTATGAAACTGCAGTATAACAATCTCTATTATTATATCGGGAACTCAAACCTTTGTCTCTCTTAGCATGGTAGGAAGTTGAAGAAATTTCAACTCTTTTTCCTGTCTGCATACTTTGCTTCGCTGCTAGAGTCTCATCTTGAGCTATTTCAATGGTCTTAGCTCGATTTATGACTTTTTGCAGGCTAAGCAAGTTTAAAGCCAACATCATCTCTTTCAACTTAGGCCTCAAACCCTCAATGAACCAATCATGTCGAGCATTATCATTGGGAACTATCTCAGTAGCAAAATGAATCATCTTGTTATACTCAGCCTCATACTCATTTACTGCTCGATCACCTTATTTCAGATTAAGGAACTTTAGGAGCATTGTCCGTATAAACTGCTCAATGATGTACTTGTTCTTAAATTCATCCTGAAATAACTGCCAGGTCACTTGCTCAGGTGGTGCATACATCATAGTGTTTGAACACCACACTCGAGATGATCCTCGAAGGAAAGATGCAGCTTCACCCAGCTTTTCAGAATCTGAGCATTGAATACTGTCAAGTATCACCATAACATCGTTTAACCATAAATCAGAATAAATAGTACCTTCATCCTTTTCTCCCTAAAACTCAGGAGCTCCCAAACTTTTCAGCTCTTTTGGGATTAACATCCATAGTGCTAGAAGAGTAGGGGGTGGAGGATGTTGAAATCGAGTTAATATTGCATCGAGAGCCTACATAAAATCTTCAAACTCTAGTACTAGCATACCCTAATGTGTCGGTACACTAGTGTTTTCAGACGGGATCGAATGCTCACTATTAGCTTCATTGCTCTCACTGCCCGACCCTTCTCTAACTTCTTGCTCAGTCTCTCTCCGTGAATTCGTATATTTCAACATCTAATAGGACATACATAATAATAACAACTCAAGTTAGTAAGGAGTGACATCAATCATATTCTAACGACACCATATCAGTAACTTTGACATCTTAGTGGTATGTAAACCCTTTTTTGAAGTAAAATACACTTAGTTTCGACAGAGAATCGACTAAACCAGTAGCTCTAGTACCAATAAATGTAACGCTTATTTCTCGTATACGTTTTCGTACACAAGTCTTAGATTTCACATGACTTTTAAAACATTTATGTTTTTTAAAAACCAATAAAATTTTGTTTTATGCATACAACATTTTAAAATAATAATAAAATGTTTATTAACTTTTAGTATGTAAAATAGTATGAAAGTTCTAAAATATTAAATATTACAATCATCAAAAGTCTCATACGTTCTAAAGCATCATCATATATCCATTATATGACATCTAATAATATCAAAAGTAGACATATTTGTATTAACGTGGAGGAGGGAGAAATTTATGGAGATTTATCTATTTGGGAGGGTAAATGTAATAATAGGATAATGGAGGATATTATGTGTATCGGCATGAAAACTAATTGTGCTAAAGATTTAAATAAGATGGAAGGAGATCTTGTGGATGGGATGCTAGCAGATCAAACTACAGTGAAGCCCAATACGGAGGATGTAGGGGAGGATATGGTCCAGAGGATAAAAGTCCCTATGCAGTTGGGTGAGGATTTTAAGTTTAATAAAAGTAGACAAAATAAAAGAGCGAGGGTCGGGAGAAATAAAAGGTATGTTTCTTTACAATGTATTGAAAATAGTTTTTCAAATAATCCAAGGAAGAGCAGAAGCAATCGTGGAAAGAAGAACAAGAAGAAGATAACGTGCGAGGAAGAATAGGCTGAAATAGAAAGAAGATCTTTATCAGACTCCGATCTTCAAGCTAGATGGCAGAGACAGAAGAGGAAGCAAAGAAAACACTACAGATTGGACGAGCGTTAGGAATAGAGTTTGAAGGTTCAGAAGAAATTTTAGTGCGGGAGATTGTAGCAGTGGAGGAATCGGAAGGTGTCTCTCAATCACTTTCCACCGCCTTTTAAATTTATATTGGAGGGGGAGGTTCCAGGATAAAGATTCTATCCTGGAGTATAAGAGGTATAGGCTCTGTAGTTAAAGTCTCAGAACTTATGAGGATTATTAGGTTTCATAAGATTGAATTTGCGTTGATTCGGGAGATGAAGAAAGAGGATTAGTAGGTATAGGGTGTATGTGGAGTGACGATGATTTTGAATTTAGATTTTCAAAAGCTAATGGGAAGTCTGGGGGATTACTGTCGATTTGGGATAAAAATATATTCAAAGTGGAAAGCAGTATCATTAACAACAGATTCATACTGATAAGTGGGAAGTATACACTCGATAACTCGACAGTTTCAATAGTAAACGTGTATACTCCATGTGAAGGTAGAGATAAATACATTTTGTGGAATGCGATTGAGTTGGAAAAGAGAAGAAATAAGAATAGATGGTTTATGGCTGGAGATTTTAATACTGTTAGAAATCAGAGCGAGAGAAGTGGATGTCATTTCATTAAGACCGAGATCGAAGCTTTTAATAAATTTATAGATAATTACAATCTATTGGATATACCACTAGCGGGGAGGAAATTTACTTGGTTTGGTCCGAGTAACAGGAGAAGTTGATTAGATAGAATCTTTGAGGATGACTGGTTACAGGAAAATTGTGAAATGTCACTGTGGGGTTTACCAAGAACCATTTCGGACCATATTCCCATTGTATTGGGCATGGAGTTGAATGATTGGGGGCCAAGATCGTTCAAGATGATTAATAGTTGGCTTAATCAGAAGAATTGTGTTGAGGTCATCAAGGACACATTACAGCTTGAGTTTACACATAACGAAGATTTGAGTACAAAACCAAGAAGGGTGAAGGGTGCTCTGCAAAAATGGAACAAAGAAAGCTATTGGAATGTAGACAATGAAGTTAAAGAAATGGAGAAGAGGATTAACGAGTTAGATAAAAAGGATATATTACATGTTTGGATGATCACGAGAGGGATGAGGTGGTTGAGTGCACAAGAAGGCTATGGGAGTTGTTAAAAGAGAAAGAGGAGATATAGAGACAAAAATCTAGATTGAAGTGGTTGAAACTTGGGGATGAAAATTCTGTATTCTTTCACAGAGCTGTAAAATTAAGAAGTAAAAAGAGGTTAATTTTAGGTGTAAATCTAGGGAAGGCAAACGAAACAGGTCCATTGAAATTGAGGGCGAAAGTTTTTAATTTTTTTAGTAATCATTTTCAAAGAAGAAGGAAACAGTGGAACACGGTACTTAACCTTCCTTTCAAGCGAGTATTAGTAGCAGACGTTGAAGAGATGGAAGCGTCGATCACAATTGAAGAAATTAAAGATGCAGTATGGAGCTGTGATGAGTCCAAGGCACCGGGTCCAGACAGTTTTAATATACTGTTTTTTAAGAAATTATGGGAATGGTTAAAAAGCGATCTTTTGAAGGCAGTGGAGCGTTTTCTCAAATTTGGTAAATTGGGAAAGAACGTTAATACTTCTTTCTTGGCGCTAATTCGGAAAGTGGATAGCCCTTCCGAAATTGAAGAATATAGGCTGATCTCTTTAGTAAGTTGTTTATATAAAATAATAGCGAGACACAATGTGCGTTTTTAGCGGGAAGGCAAATATTTGACGGTATCTTGGTGGTAAACGAGATAATTCACTCTTTGTATAAGGAGTCAGAGGCGAGAGGTGGATTGATTTTAAAGCTTGACTTCGTAAAGGCCTATGACTGTGTTTGTTGGGAGTTTCTTGATTCGATTCAGCAGTAAATGGGGTTTAGAATCAGGTGGAGAGGGTGGGTATGGGAATTTTTTCGACAGTAAGAGTATTTGTTTTGTTAAATGGCTTTCCTACCAAAGAGTTTAAAACGCTCAGGGGACTAAGGCAGGGAGATCCATTATCTCCCTTTCTATTCTTGATGGTCACAGAGGCACTTCATCTTATGCTGGAAGGAGCAGTGAGCAAAGGCTACATAGAAGGCATTCATAACGTGGCTCCGAATACAATTATTTCGCACTTGCAGTTCGCGGATGACACGATTTTATTTCTTTGGCCAGATCAAGGTGGTCTCATAAATGTAAAGAGAATTTTGAGATATTTTGAGTTCAGTTCGAGGTTAACAATAAATTTTACAAAGTCATGTCCATCAGGGGTTGGGATTGAGGAGGATTATGTTCGTTAGTTAGCAGTTGTGTGTGGGTGTACGACGAGCAAGTTACCATTTAAATACTATAAATATTATGTTTAAAGCTACTTGGTAAGATAGCAGGTTGAACTTTAATGTAGTGGTGTGGACTAGTTTGGTTTTTGCTTGAATGTTTAGTAGGTGTTGTTATTTAGATCCTTATTTGTTCATGATTATTGCAGTTCGGTTGTAATATACCTTAACTGTGGAGCACTCTTTTCCCTCATATAGGTTTAGGGGGTTTAATGAGGCTCTTAGTTGGGGATGAGAATGCTTTTGCTAAGAGTTATAAAGTTTTTGGTTTTTGCTGAGCAAAAAAAAAGAGATATTTTTCATACAGTTACTGATAAGGCAACCTTTGATTAACGATGTCAACTACACTCCTTACTCCGCTCGTACTAATACCTACGTGCGAAGCTAACACATGCTAAGTATTCACTTAGTGAGGCATAATAATAAGAATGAGGTGTAACAAAAACATAAGTGTATCATAAAATATCAAAATACGAATTAAATCGTATAAATCATAGTAATACTTAATACTTCTTGGTAAACCAAGTTTCTTTCATATAACCTGCGAAATAATATTTAGTACGCCCAACATACCTATTAATCAGTATTTTTCCAAATTATCCTTTTATTTGCCCTATGTATGTTGAATGAGAATGCATGGTACATGAGTTGTACCTAAGTGTCGAAATGGAAATTCACAAACTCATTATGAATTTCATGGATGCACATATAGTGCCGAAATGGTAATTCATAAACTCATTATCAATACCATGGGTGAACACATAGTGCCAAAAGTATACATAGTTCTGATACAAAAATGCAACGTATGTGTTAAACAAAATTGATCGATAACCATCATACACAAAGTATGTCGAAATGCACCTATAACTCTCAATGCACATACAATAGGCCTTTAAGTTAAATTCGCAGATTAAACATTTATTTCTAAAACATCGATAACTGTTAAAACAATTTAAAAGTTCATCCATTTGTTTTAGAGCAGTTCATACTCTAAAATTATTCATAAAAATCATTTCCATAAACTTTATGAAAATATTTCAAAATACTGTAAAACATACTTTTTATCAAAACATACCATCAAACTCATCATCACTTAACTCAACTAACTTACATCCATAAATCTCCTTATAACATCCAAAATCTCCAAAGAACACTTAAAACTAAAAATCACACCAAATTTTCAAACATATTTTTAATCATTTCTAAGGCTCCCAATCTCTTATTTACATCTTTGACAAGTCAAATATGCTTTTAAACTCCTCATACTTACCAAATTTCATCAAATCACTTAAAAACTCATTTTATTAAATCTCTAATAAATCACTAATCTCTTAGTATTAATCATACTTTAACTTTCCTTAAGCCTCTATATCACTTAAGGCTTCAAAACCAACCCATAAATGAAAGGAAATACTAACTTGAAGAAATCTTACCTTTACTATAGAGGGTACGGGGATGAAAAGAAGAAGAAGAAGAAGAAGAGAACCAAGTTTTCAGTGTTTCCTTTTTCCCTTTTCAACCCTTAATAAATATCCCTAAAAAATAATATTAAATTTATTCCTTTTAAAATACCAAAATACCCCTCCATTCTTCCATTCTTCCATTCTTAATAATAAGTCCTAAACACAATTTACTAGATCAATCGATGTACTTTACATTTTTTCAAATTAACCCACCAAATTTTAAATCATTTCAGTATAGTCGTTGACCTAATGTTTAGGGTATTACATACATAGTATCAATATCACATTACTATGTATTGAATTCCATAGAGTAACATAGTACCAAAACCACATCACAATTCACTCAATGCAACTGTGCCCAAAATAACATTACTACGTGTACAATGCAGTTGTTGATACTCCACATCTATAACATGCCAACTATACCATGGACTGTTAATGTACATAAAATCGACATTTCCATTAATTATCACTTGTTCTACAATTATCAAAGATAAAAATATATCAAACATTTCATATAGTAGCACAATGGGCAGTTCATACCCTAAATATTTTATTTCCACATAACATGTATATATCATGAAAATATCACTAATCACTTACCTTTTTGACATGTAAACAACATGTCCAACATATGATATATACCATAACTATCATGTCAATTTAATCGAGTTAATTCATTTCAAGCCTTTAAAATGACATATAACATAAAGGTAACATAAAATGCATGATTTACCACTTATTTCCCTATTTTGGCAGCTTGCACTACCCTTAAAGAATTATTTTTCTGTATTGAACTACAAATTAAAATTCTATTTTGTTTATTCCACTAGAAACTATATTTGAATACGAATCTAACGACCTGTATAATTTATGGTGAATTGTCTAATCCAATTTACAAAATTTGTTTTGAGCAGATGCTACCCTGTTTTCTGACCTATCATAGATAAAACTTTTGTATCTTCTAGTATACACCTCGAAATTAGTCTTTTTTTGTCTTACATGAAACTATATTGACATATAAATAAATAAATAAATATAAGAATCACTTTCTAATCATTTTTATAGAATTTCTAATGATTTTCCAATCTATTATCAAGATTATAAAAATTTAGGTATATTTCATTGTTTTGCATCTTTAGCTTATTCACTAGTTCCATTACTCTTCTAAACATAAATTTAACATAAATGCATGAATCACAAAGTCACATAATATTCAAGAGTCACTTCTTACCATAGTAACTTAGCCACTGACTCATCGCAAGCCAATGTTTACATTTAACATTAATACACCAAAAAATGCACTCACCTCAACACTTTAAACATCAACCAAAATGTAGTCTTCCAAAAAGCTTTATAAGAGCTCTATTCCTTTCCATTATTATTCACTTCACCTTGATTGAACTTGGATGGTTCACACATCAATTACAAAAAAAACTAAAATCAAAGACATGTTAGAATTCATTTTAACCATTCGTACAAATATTAAGAATTTTCTAAAAATTCTTTCGATACTCAATCAAAACTAATTACACTTCATACCTTTCAAATTAACCTTTAATAACAAAATTTCACTAAAACCTTATTTTATATATCTTAGGGTTTAAAGGACCAAATTATGGATTTTTCATATTTCAATTCCAAATTCAATAATTTTACCATCAAAATGAAGCATAGATGATGGAAAACAACAAGAACACTTCAATTTCATCAAAACCCTAAACCCTTAATTGAAAACCCTAATAAATGAATATAACATGGTTTGTTCACACTTGATTTTTGGTTTCAAACAACCTTCTAAAGATTGAATAGCCTTTAATCCTCCATGATAAACATCAAAACAAGCTTGAATAATTTTTTCTCCTAATTTTCTTTTTCATAGCCTAACCCTGTATACCAACTTATCCATAAAATTCATCTTGATTAAACCATGGAAAAGTTGTATAAGCAACTAATCCTTTAAAATCAAGCCTTAATTCAATTTAATCCATACACTTTAGTCTTTCTATCTCTAATTTAATTGCAAATACTAACCAAAACCATGAATTAATGGTATCGTATTGAAGAGAACACAAAGATGAACAAAATCGGATTTCATGTCTATGCTTTAATTTCAAACCAAAAAGAAGGAAAATCAAATTAAAGAATCACCTTAGGTTTCTATGAAGCTCATGGCAATATAATGAAATAATGAGAAAATTCTTGAATTTTATATTTTCCTTTCATTTTATTCCATTTTTATTTTTATATCTTAAAATGAATTTAAAGTTCATTTTAATCCAAATTTTCATTTTACCCTTATAACAAATATCAAAATATGCATCCAAGGGCTAGGATTAATCTATAGAGTTAGTAGTTACTAACTTTTCCCTTATAACATGAATATATCATGAAAATATCATTAATCGCTTACCTTTTTTACATGTAAAAAACATGTCCAACATATTATAAATATCATATTTATCATGCAAATATAATATACTTGGTTCATTTCAAGCCTTTAAAATGACATATAACATAAAGGTAACATAAAATGCATGATTTACTACTTATTTCCCTATTTTGGTAGCTTGCACTACCCTTAAAGAATTATTTTTCAGTATTGATCTACAAACTAAAATTCTATTCCATTTATTCCACTAGAATCTATATTTGAATACAAATCTAACCATATAAAACACTCTTTCTAGTTAAACATGTACAATTTATAGGTGAATTTTCTAATCAAATTTACAAAAAATATTTTGAGTAGAGTATGCTCCCCTATTTTCTGACCTATCATCGATCAAAAATTTATATCTTCTATCATACACTTAGAAATCAGTCTTTGTTTGTCTTACCAAAAACTAGATTAATATACAAATACAACGGTATAAGAATCACTTTCTAATCATTTTTATAGAATTTCTAATGATTTTCCAAATCTACTGTCAATATCATAACAATCTAGGCAGATTTCATTCTTTTGCATCTTTAGCTTATTCACTAGTTACATAAATCTTCTAAATAAAAAATTATGCATGAATAAAAAAGTCACATAATATTCAAGAGTCAGTACTTCTTACCATAGTAACTCAATTAGAGACTC